GACCTTAAGAATTTTTCTATGTGCTTGTTGCAGCTTTTTGTTTTTGGTTTGTTAACGACTTTTTTTTAAATTGTTAAGTTCACATTGACTTATGTACTTTTTCACTCAAGATAGCCCAGCTCTATTCGCATAAAGGACGGCCCAAGACATTTTTAACAACTTTAAGTATTAATAAATGTCATGATATTTCTATCCCTTCTATCTTTCTTTTTTTTTATTGTATGATTATGTAAAATTATTATCTTTTCCTTAAGTTCAATGATCACCATGATCACTTTTTTCACACATCCGCATCTGCAGATTTCAACTAAGAAAATTTCTCATTCCCGTCCGCATCTGCAGATGTCATCATAACCCACATCTACGGCATCTCTTGTATGCTTAAAGTAGTAGCCCTCTGTAGTTGCGCAATATTAAATAAACTAGTATTATTCTCTAGGAAGAACATTGACAACTAAGCCATTCTCCTAACTCAGGTAAAGCTTAAGCAAAAGTAAGAGCAAACTTACTACAACATTACCTGTGTTCCACTAACAATCCTCAACAACTATTACTTGAAAGCGGACCAAACTTGCATTCAGTTTGCTTCACTTAAACTTAATATTCTAAGACTTGAACACTTGTACAACATCAAATATGAAATCCAGTTTATTTTGCAAAGTAAACATTGTAAAACATAGTAGATTTTTTCGAAAATAAATCGAATATGGTGGATTTTATTGTTGCTTTTTCTTAAATCATAATAAGTAATAAGCTTAGTTGGCATGGCGTCTAACACGATTTGAATAGAAGACGTCGGTACGTATCCGGCCGGATCGAAGGAATTTTGTTCTAAGTGTTCGATATTTGTATTAATAATTATTATACCAAACTGGCCAGGAATGGTAGCTGTAAAGTTACCTAACTGGGTGACGAAATACTTTCATAGATTTCTCATAGATGGCGCTACGGCTAAAAAGTCGTTGAAAAACTAAATACAAAGATCACATAGAAAGAACAACAAGCACATAGAAAAATACATGAGGTGCACTGGTTCGTTCCATTGCTTAGCGTCTGCCACGGTTTGCTAGAAGACGTCTCGGTTCGAATACGGCTGGATCACACGAATTATTATATTATTATAAAATAATTATAACAAAGAAGTGGAGTAATTTCACAAATAATAATGGAATAGCAATTCAAAAAAATATTTAAAAACAATATAAAATATCAAATATGACGCTGCTTATAAGCATTTTCGTATAGTAAGCATTGTCGCGGATTGTTAACAAAATACGCATTAGATATTTGTTGTATTTCATTGTTTTAAATTACTTATAGAAAAAGTATTGTGTGCAATCATTATATAATTAGGTCTTAAAATCTCGTACCTATTACTTAGGCCATTCGGCAAAGCCTCGTTGTCTAAACACGGCCTCGACTTTAAGAACTTTCATTATGCAACGATTGCCTAATATACTATTGACGCATACTATTGAGATGTAGTCTCACGGTCCGAACTCGCGCCAAAGCGACGTGCGATTAGTGCCGTCCATGCCGGCGCGGCTCACATTATATGGGCCTATATCTTTCTACATGTATTTTGTTTATAGTGACCCTCCCTATTAACCTCCTGGTTATACGGGAAGGGCGCTATGAATTGCATGGGCCTGAGGCGCGAGCTCGCCCGTACAAATCGGCGCAATGCGACGCGGCGCGGCCCGTGATGCCACAGGCCATGGGAAGCCGCATTTATATCTATATCAAGAGTACCTTCCCCAAGGCTGCCGAGATATTCCGGAGGCAGCCACGATCATTGTCATTGAAATTGTAACTATAATGTCATAATCTTAAGGTATACTACTATTCGTCACCTAAAAAACCCGTGCCGTCCCGTCTCGTGATATCACAGGCCGTGGGTAGCCGTCTTTATATACACCAAGAGTACGATGTCTAGATATTATTCCTCAATATATTAATAACAATAATCTCATATTATTTAATAGCATTATTGGGCTGGCCAAAAAGACTGCGCGGTATCAAAGTATGAAATAAAAACTTTAAAAAAATATCAAACTTCACTCAATAATGTATTGGCTTTGTTGATCCACAACCTCTTGCCATCTTTCGGGTAATTTTACAATGCACCTTTCATAACAGTTCCTGTCTTTACTTATATAAAATACAGTCTGAAGTTTATTTTAATCTCTTCGATATCAAAGTGAAATGGACAGGTCCATTAAAAGAACTTTCTCAGACCGATATAAGTGAAAATCATGCTGGTTCCTTCCGTGGCTTAATTGGCAGCACGGATTGCCTGAAGGTGCTGGTTCGAATCCAGCCGGAACGAATGAGTTTTTCTTGTGTTTCGATCTTTGTTATAATAATTATAACAAACTAGTGAAGTAATTTGACAAAAAACAAATTGAACGTCATGGTAGTAAAACATTGTGACATTCAGTTAAAAAACTTAAAAATTACTAATAGATGCAATTCCATTAACTTTTGAGGTCGTTTTGTTTTCGTTTGTTATAATTATTCTGACTTGCATGTGATAAAAGCGCTTTTGATGCATGATCACATGTAGCTTTATTGTACCAAGTGTAATGTATACAACTTCTTGATCGTGCATATTAAAAAAGTATTTTTCACTACCTCGGCTCTCTTTCTCATTAGAAATGTGCGCGGAAAAACGTTTTTTCCACGCTAGCATGGAAAAGGTTTTTGAAATTCGAACTTGATGATGGACTGTCGTGCCCCTAACTTTTTCTTTCGATAAAAAACATAACGACACGTTCAACTACGCGATTTGTCTTACAATATTTACTTATAATATAAATCCGTTGGTATATTTTTATTCTTATTATTTTTGACATTAAATTGACAACGATAACTAATTTTTAACCGACTTCAAAAAAGGAGGAGGTTCTCAATTCGACTGTATGTTCTTTTTTTTCTTTTATCTTTTTTTTGTATGTATGTTACGCGATAACTCCGGTATTTGTGAACCGATTTTCATGATTATTTTTTTGTTGGAAAGGGGGTACTTCCATAGTGGTCCCATTTTATTTTGAAGAAAATCATCCACCTCGAAGGGTGGCTGTTCACGCAAGAAGATTCATTTTTTACAAATAGCGCCTAACTTCAATTTAGGAGCAATTATTTTAATAGTTGATTTTGCTATTTCTCCAATTCAAGGCGTTTTTCTCTCAATATACTTTGTGTAGTGACGTAGTGAGAACCTATTTTTATTTATCTCCAGTGTCAAGTCCTGTATAGTGGCGAACTAGGGGATATTTCAATAAAACTTAGCAAATAGACGTAAATTCACGTACTTTTGAGGTCGGTTTTTTTAGTACTCTGCGCTCTGTACTGAAATTATGTTTATTAAAACTGATTTGTTATAGTTCAACTGTTTTTCTTTCATCTACCATTTTCCTCGCTATAGGGACGTGAAAAGTTGTGTGTTTCTCTCGACAGCAAAGTTGTTTTGCGTCTCGTGCCTTGAAACCCTCGCTAAGTTCAGGAATCTATTATCTTAGCATCGTTTGCTTAGTCAGGTTTCAATACAGGCACTCGCGTCGATCAACAACTTTGCAGCCTTGCATTACATGACTATAATATACTTTCGCTGGTGGTAAAATGACAAGAGCATTGTAAGAATATAATAATTTTATTCAAGACGCGAGAAACAGGAATAAGGTACATTACAAATTTAAACATTGCTGTGTATACGAAATCTCTAAATCGAGTTATTGAGTATATTTAAAATAAAACTACGTTAGCGAGATGATTCGACAAACGTTAATACGTAAATATATTGGTCATTTTCTAAGATCAGGTTGTTTAGTAGACTTCAATGCTTTCCTGATGATGAACGGTGTCCTGCCTGAACATCTCCACGTCAACCTGGCTGTCGGCGTGCAGCATTTTCGCACGTTCCCCCTGAAACGATTTACAGCATTTGATATAATACAAATACAGGAGACCCACTAAATGTACACAGAGTCTGAATTTTTGTATGACAAATCCCTAAATCCATTTATTTTGTACGTTATTCAAATACCATTATGCTATAATATTTTATTTATTGTTTTGATATATCATTGGGGATAATGTTGGCGGTAATTTAGTAGCCAAATCAAAACCTCGTAAATGTCGTGCTTATTTAGTTTAAAATGAACCCTTTACCTGCCCTGGCGTGCCAGCTTCAGATGATTCCCTACGTTAATAACTTTGTCATCCCACACTACTTCTTCCAACTCCTAACAAGGACCTATGTACGAATTTGTATTCACGACTAACGGTTTTTGAGTGAGCTTTTTTCTTCTTACCTTGTCAAAAAGAAGATTCGTATTGATACAATACACGGGTAGAACCCTACGACAAAATTTCCCAGCTTCATTGGATACACATAAAGATAATTGGTTTATAAACGATAAGAAACCTTATGTCTTCGAGTTTTATACCTCCTCACATGGACAGCAGAATAACAGAATCTGTAAGTATGTACTTGTATATATGAATATTGACAATCTGTCGATTCTCCTGATGGGAAGGAAGGGTGAGTTCCTGATGGGGGAAGGATGTTGTTGAAGTTTCCAATATACATTTTAGCAAACGTATTGCCGGCCGTAGAATGAAAGATCTCAAGTGTTCTGGTCTATTTGCCCTGCAATCTGGAACTGCTGTTAGTTTTAGTTTAGGGCGCTGTAATCTACCTCACCTGCTTTTCCTTTTTGTGAAAGGTTTATAAAGATCAATTATTTAGTAGCAGTAGAGCTTCTTGTAAAAATGTTCGTCCAGAGCACTACTTCCACTTTACCTATTTCTGCCGTCAAGCTGTAATTTTGATATTACTGCGGTGCGGTTTTGAAGAGTAAGGATGATAAGGCTGGTGAACTTACAAGCACGTGGAACTTGTCAACTTATGTCACTGGGTGACGGGCACAGTGGCAGCATCTTTCAAATCTTTGCTATTTAATGCAACTGCATATAGACAGGCATGCTGCTCATCATCAGGTGCTCGACTTGGTCGTCCCGTTATTTGGTACCACAAAAAAAAACAAATGTGCGTGGTCTATTATGGTAGCCCCTTTGTTTTTAGGATTTGAAGTGTCCAGTACTATTGCGCGTACGCGCCTGGCCGGTCAGAGCAAATTTAGAATTACGTAAATAATTCAGGGATTCTGATTGGCTGAGGAGCGTCCGCGACGCATTGATAGGGCCAGTACGGTGTAGGAGATACCGCATCGGCATATATAGGAGAATCTTGTAAGAATTGTTGATTCGATTTCATTCATATTTGTGACTTGTTAGGTTACGGAACTAAGGCAGATTGACATAGATCACGATTGTTAGGATAAGATTCAATCAAGAATAGAAGTGTATACTGTCCACCTAAGTATAAGAAGCTTCAAAAAACGGAATATTACGAGATTTATTGAAGGGAAGTCTAATCCGTTTTGAGACAGCCGGGATCCAACAAGTAGTTTTTTAAATTCTAATATTACCTTAGGATGCATAAAGATGAAGGGCAGTTCAGCCACCAGCTCTCCGCTAAGGGCTCCGAGATAAAGCTTCACTTTGACGCTGTAGCTAACGACAATGCCGAATGCGTCCCGTTGCTCCGGATCCAATAACCTTTCAACAAATAACATAAAAAATAATGTTGTAATGCAATGTAACGTAAACTATATCGTTTTCTCGTACGTACTACATATAGAGATACGTCTATTAATGGAATAATAAGCTATAAGTAATTAGATTTTGAAGCCCAATTTCAGTTTTCGAATGGTTACAATGGTGCCTTAAATTTTTATTTGTCTATAGTAAAATTTTTCGCAAATTACTACCAAAACAGTTCCTTAGATGTGACTTATATATGTATATATATCATAAAGTTTTACTACCACAATGTTAATTATATTTTGTGAAATTACTCCGCTTATCTAATATAATTATTAATACAAAGTTCGATTTTAAATTGGGTGTTAAAAATTCACAGGCAAGAGAGAAATATTGGGGGCACTGTATTAGCATGATAGTAGACTTATAAAATAAAAGAGGTATAGGATATATAAAAGATATACAAAAGATATAATACTATATCAACGTAATAAGTTTGTAACAGCAACCATTGCCAATATTATTATGGAATTACCATTATACAAAACCTATCTAACTTTAGGCTATAAGCAATATCACAGAGATGCATTGCTCTTAGGCAATATCTTTCTGTTTTACAATTTCGCATTTTGTTAATATACAGGTAGGATTTTTTAATTATATGAATAAAAGTGGGTCCCCGCGGCAAGGTGCCCAAGATGCTGGCATCGTCTCACTTTTATGGCTATGCTAATGCGTTGGGCAAGGTAGCTGCCGGCCCTGGGGTTTCCCAGATAGTCTATTAAATTTTTGGATAAAATTTTGTACAGGGGGCCTACCACAACCTCTTAAAACAATATTACTTTAAACAACGCGCTTGAAGCAAGCTTATTGTAATGTTAAGACTATGATGTTTTATTGGCAGCTTTGTGTTTATTCATTCACTCAGTTTACACTATGACGCGACTTTAACATTAAAGTAATATTGCTCTTATGTCAAATTTAGCAATCTTAAAATAGTTACACGGATGCAATGGAAACAATATTATTTTCAGTTTTATTGTCTTAATATAGATTTGTAATGATTAAAAGATAAGTTGAACTTATTTATTTAAATATATCTCTTCAATATTTTGTTTATTTTTCATTTAATAGTACATAGGAAACAAGTTCTTGTTAAAAAAAATACGCGATATTTATTTCGTAAAATTATGACAGCGCCATCTATATGCTCCTTGGCGAAACTAACAGTTGACACTAATTCCGAATTCACAACGTGACTATGAAGACTCAGCTTGTTTTATTTATTTTTCTTCATGAAAATGCGAAATAATTACTGAAAATAACGTAATTTTAATAGATTTTATTATTACATACTTTTCTTTTTTTAACAGTCAAAATTCTCTGAATGTAAATAACATTAAGTACTTAAACATTATACTACGATAACACGATTCGGAACATCGAAAAAGAAAGTAATAGCATTATATAGATCACATAGCGTTATCTCGTTCCTGTTTTTAGTAAGGAATAGACAATATTGGGAAATCATTCGTTCTTTCAGTCACTTTTGCAATAATACATTACTTAATTGACAGGTTCGTCATGGTACGAATATGAGTAATATTTATAATAAGCTGACTTTAAGCTTACATTGAAATAAGATTGTTTTTGGAAAGGTCATGGTAGGCCCCCAGATGAAGGGCACTGGGACCCAACGCGCCAAGGGTTTCGACTCCAAAGGCTGTAAATGGGTGACTACCTATTCGACTCCAAAGGCTGTAAAAAGGAGCCGAGATCCTGGTACTTATTACTTTTTATTCTTTCCGCCAGCTCAGCTGCGGAGCCAGCCCTCTTGATGGTGTGCTGGAGATGGGATGTTCTCATCCCAGTCCGGCTGGCTCGAGTATAGCGGGCACGTTAATTAACCGTGGCTAAGGCCCGGTGGACGATGTCGTTGAGGGCTGCATGCCGGGAAATACGGCCGGCGCTCAGCTGGCAGGAAAGACCGTGGTGACCCAGAACACTTACGTCTTTGCCGCAAGGACACCGATGGGGAAAGCAAACTGGGACTCCAAAGCGGAGGCAAGAAGGCCTAGTTTCGTATTTAAATAAAAAATAGAAGAAAATAATTACAGGGTGGTAGAAGCGAGGGTTGACTCATTTCGTTTCAGCTGACCATCCAGGGCTATGCCGCGCTTGTCGCGGTTCGACTGCAGAGAAGGAGTCAGGTATAAGATCTTCTGCATGCTGGAGCCAGGTTGAAGAGGGCATCCATCCCTGCGAAACAAAATAAGTTACCTTTAAATAAAGCATCTTATACAATAAGACGTGACAGCCTAATGGATTGACCTGTCACCGTTCAAGCATAGGCAGCGGCTTTAAATTCGAACTCGCACCTTTGTCGGAATAATATTACTTTTTCGATGAATGAAGAAGAAGAAGGTTCAGAACCCTCGGAAAACATGTGAAGTCCCCGAGCCTCATTGGGCTAGTGCAGCGGACTATCTCTAAATCCTCGCCTGATGATGCAAGCATCTTATGCAAACATGAACCCTAACAAGGCCTTGTAATCGTTGATTGTAATTAAACTAGTTAAATTAATTGGCGTGTTGCATTGATTACAATTATATGGACGTCGGGTCCACGCTAAAAAGTGTCCGAACTTATAGGGCGTTAAAATCGTATACAGAGCGTCATTCACGCTTTAGTCTTCGTTTGTTCGACTGACAGCGAAGCAAGCAAAATTAGACAGTACTGCGATGACATTACAATTTAAATTCAACGTTTTAGCTTTTTCATATTCCTTTACATGTCACTACGTTTAAATAGATTGACTTGGGACATTTTTTTCGTGGTTTGTGTATTAGACCCGTCGTCCATTTATTTGTAAATCAATGGGGTGTTGCAACTAATTGCTTTTGATTGCTACAACGCCGTATGTGAACGATATACAGTAAAATTTATTTAAATTTCGAATTGTCAGGTTTTTGCGATTGCCATACAAATGGAACTAGATTTTGTATCTGAATCGCATATATTTGTTCTTTCTCTTTGCAGATCCCGCGATCGTGACTGACTGATGGTTCGAAAATTATTTAATTTCCAATTATTTAATTTTAAATTTAATTTGCTACTGTAACTTTTTTGGTACTTCGAAAAAGTAACAAATAATAAAAACTGATCGGAAAGCTCATCAATATCAACACTGTCAAGCTACAAGAACTATGTTAATAAAAAAATACGAAACACTTGCAGTGCTTTACTCCGTACATCATAAAGTTCCATTTTTATTCGCTTCATGATTTTCTGTGTTAGAACTCAGATCATGAAAAAGCCCAAAAAACTACCTTTTTCTCGACAAAAACACTTTACGAACTTGTCAATAAGAGATACCGCAATAGCTTCGAGACCTGTCGGGTCTGTTAAATATCTATTTCGGTAAATAATTGTATTTTAATTATTTATTATTTATACATTATGATAAATAAATTTTGTATTCAATTGTTAGATTGTAAGCCAGGCTGTACCATAACATATGCCAAACTGTGAAGCAACGCTCGTCTGTCAAAACTGTTCCTCTTTGTGCCTCGCCTCAATGAATAAACCTGTGTTATTTTACAAGTTGTATTGGTTTCAATTTTACAATAAGACTACAGTACAGTCACATCTTCAGAATTCTGTTGGGACTGCCACGGCACTGCAGTACGTCAGCATTCGTTCGGCATGAATGCCGAAGCGCGAACATATGACTTTTATGCCATTAAGCGAAAAAAGACGTCGTCTCTGCTAAAGAGAGTGCGTGTGAATGGCATCCTAAAGATGTTTGCCTATCGATTTGACTGTACAATCGCTACTGGTCAAATTAAGTAATAATTTGTGCATTTTCTTAATTTTAATATTTTAATTTTTATAGTTCAATAATTTAATCAAATTTTCAAATAGTATTAGCAATCATACTAACGTAGTTCTAATGTTTTCTTTTGTAAATAACACCATTATCTTATGGGCAATGACCAGAAATAAATTGTTTATTGATATTGTTATTTACTAATAAATAAGTTACAAAATAAATTATCTTTTTATCTATAATAATAGTTCTTTGTATCTGTTTTCGTGGCTTTTTATAATATACTAGCTGATACCCGCTGCTTCCTCTGCGTTAAATAAGTGTTTCGAGTACAATACTAATTAGTTTTCTTTACTCTCCATACAAACTTTCATCCACTATTCACCATCCTTCAGGCAATTATCACATAGCGCCACGCAAAGGTGTAAGGAGTTGCGTTTTTTATCGTTGTACCGATGTATCTCAGTTAGTATAGAAAACACGCGCCGTACAACACACTGACAACGCATCTCCGCGCGGAAGTGCGTGGCGCATGACCCGTCACTCCGCTTCATGGTGCGGGGCAGGTCATAAAGGCCTAAGATTGAGATTGCGATTCCACCAGAGATGTGCGAGGTAGCTAGTGCGGTGCCAGGATACGTAGTGAATCTGTGAAGCGGGGTGTAGCTGATAGCTTACTAATACTTAGAGCTACGCTAGCCCATTTCCACTAGAGCTGCGTTAAGCGAGGCTAGGAAAATGAAGTAATCCTCTTGGTGGATTTTCCTCGCACACCACCTAAATACCTCGCACATCTCTGTTGAAAAAGCAGGTTGTGACAAAAAGTAGCCTATATCCCTCTCCTAGGTTCCATCTATCTTTATAACAAAATTCAATCTCAAATATTGGTTCAGTGGTAGCGTGAAAACGTAACAGACAGAATTACTTTCTCATATAAAGTATTAGTATAGATTTGGGACATGTCACGATGCCTCATACACTTACTGAGTCTCAACACTGGCGACGGTATTGCTGTACTGCCCTTGCTGGAAGAGCACCACGTCGACTCCCTGCTGGATGGAAGCCTTGATCTTCTTCACCACCTTGTTACTATGGTTGCGGATGCAAATGTTCACGGCCACTGTTTCTCCATGCATGTAGAGCTGTAGGAACATTATCCTATAATACTTACCCTTGTTATAGTGATTGGAATTTAGAAATGAAATTGTACTAACAAAAATGACAATTGTTTTAAAGGAGTGACCACACTTATCGAAACGGAATGAGCATGAAGGTGGTCTTTTTTCGCTCTTACCGCAAGGACGTAAAGGTTTTGCTGACCAGCTCAAGCCAGCTCCACTTGAATAAGTGTGGTCACTTCTTATCTGGACTGCTTCAAACAAGGAATCAATACTGAATCACTAATAGCCTATGCACACTAATTTATACGCGCCGGCGACGCGCGTTATCTGCGCGTATACACGCCGTAGACGCGCTGTAAACGCGCGTATGTATCGCGCATTTTGATAAGAGATAGTTTTAATTTTATTTTTAGTTTGTTAAATTTCAGTTAATTATTTAAATGAAGTAACTACATGAAATTCTATGTAAGCTTCTTGCTTGCAAGGTGATGTTTGAACGCGTTTGAATCGATTCACTACAGCACGTCTGCGGCGCGTATACGCGCAGATTACGCGCATTACGCCGTGTGCAAAGGCTCTAACTGCCTCCGTGGGCGAACGGTTTACATGCTGGTCTGCCATGCAGAGGTCCCGGGTTCGACTCTCGGGCCGGGTGAAATATTGGGTTGAGGCGTGAGTTTGGATGTAATTTATGGTTGTCTATGTATGTGTCCATGGCACCGGGCAATCAATCGGACTAAGCACCAACCTGAGTCTGTAGCCACGGCTAGGGCATTGTCTGGTTAGAGTCCAATCGGATCGAAAGTTCTAACTAGTGGAATAGTTTCATAAAAAATATACGAATGTCATGGTAGTAAAAACATCATGATGTTCAATAAAATAAATATTGCAAGTTACTTGTTTATCAAGAGTGAGCTCCAGCTCGAGTTGTCCCGGTGATAGAACAAAATCCTTGCGCACCACGGTGCAGGGCTGAGGACCCGGCTTCGATGGGGCGTATTGAACTTTGCGGATTCCCAAAGCCACCGTGCTCCTGCGGAAGAAATGGATTTCACATAATATGTATATATGTTTGCGGCGACATGCACTGATGCTTCCACATAGACGCTCACGCGATGCGCTCCTCAATGGCGGCTATTTGGTTTCGCAAAATAGAAAAGGATTCAGTTTAAATACAAGTTTTTATAAATAAAAATTATTATTCTGCATTGCTAAATAAATACCCTCCGTACTACCAACAAAAACATCTCAAATGAAATGCACCGCAAATCCTGCACTTAAAAAGCACTAATGAAATTTTTGGTGTACTTGGATAAATATGATAAATATTCCGTTTAAGTGGTTCTAACGTTTACCATGAAATTACTCCTTACAGTATAGTTTATAAACATTTATATTCAGGGTAAACTTAAAAACTCTACTTACGGTATGTTTTCAATAAATAAACACCGAAATCGCCAGCTCAAACTACTTCTTCTTTTAAATGTTATGGCCCCATCGAAATAATCAATGATTTTGCCAATGTCAAGTAAAAATAACTATGTACGGTAGTTTACTATTATTATAAAAATTATACAAAAATATGGCAATTTCACCAATGTCTTGTGTTCACCAGCTCAAACAATAACACACACGATTGTCGTGACGTATTTTTGAAGTTGTTTATTTTTTTAAATGACAGACCCAGGCATTAAAAACTTTATGGTTTGCTAGAGTAGTTACTGAAATAGCAATTAATATTAGTTCTTTTACCTGTTATAACTTCGATATCCGGATAAATCGGTATAAAATCATCACCGACACCTCTGCACCACGGCTGCATGTATCGCGTGAGCAGATAACGTTGCGCAAAAGGTGCTCATGTCTGGTGCGCAGAGTGCGGACCAGCCCCAATATCGTCCTGGCTATGATCGCTGGCAGGTTAGATTGCCCGTATATTCAACATTGCTATGATAAGCATGCCCACTATGGTGTCGGTTATGGGGGCAATCGACTTAGACATCCACAAATTACAGTTATTTTATTTTATTGTTTGTATTTGTGATTATTCATATTATTGTTTAATTTTCTATCAAAAATCATAATAGCTAAAGACGTAACAACCAGAAACCTAAGAAACCCCAATAAAGTGATACTTGGTACAATACCCAAAACAAAATAACTCGTACGTCATGTGTGGAAATTTTTTTATCGCTTTAAGTTTCTTCCATTGACTAGTTTCAAAAAGGAATTGCGTAGGTGGCTCTCTGATTATTTGTTCTGCTTAGTTGACGAATTCATGAAATATAAGGACTAATTAATTGATTGAACATTTTTCTTTACAATTATTATTATTTACTTTAAATTATGACATACACGATTATGATATCTCGTATTAAACCAATTAAGTTTAATAAAATTATAAATTTACTGTCTAATTATTGTTTTTACATTTAGTCTTAATCTTTCAATGTATTATTTGCATGCTGTTATTTATGGAGGCGGAATAGGTTTAAGTGCTGATTTCATTTTTCCCATCAACATGTACCGTACCCTACTTGAAGTGAATAAAATGAATTATTATTATTATTATTTATTTATTTAAATTTTATTTTATTTTTTTATTTTATTTTATTTTATTTTTATAACTTTTTATTGATTTTTTGACTTGGATTATATTATTTTGGTACGGGTCGTTGTCGCCCGAAATAAATGATTTTTATTCTATTTGATAACACACACCGTTGATAACACACACTCTTGTAATACGCTCTTAATTTTCGTTATAGGTGCTAGCCCTAAGAAAGATTTTCTGTGGAATAGTACAATTATTTTCGAAATTGATTGACAATTCTCCTGTTCAACAGATCTCTAAATCTTTAAAAAATCATATTCATAATAGGCCTTATAAATATGTATTTTAAAGAAATTTAATAAACAACCAGGAATTCAGCACCTCCTCATTGGTTTTGCCATAGATACCGGTAGTTATGTTTTTACTCCATTTATACAAGCTTTAATGCCACAAAATGGCATTTTCACGTTTTACAAGAAATTTTGTGTGTATAACGACCGCCACTCCACTGTGGAGATGTTTGAAGATGTGATACCTCAATTTTGGGCAAATCGAGGCGTCCCAAACCACACCTTCATATCAAATGTCCCCCTTTTTGTATATTTATGGATATTTCTTTCCGTTCAACTCATTCCTTCCAAGTGTTATGTTGGTCTAATGGTAAAATATGCGTATTCCTTCGATTCCTATTAAGTAAGCCCTTGTAAGGCCTTTAAGGCTTTAACGTATTTGTAGAAGTATGTACCTGCGATGGGATCTATCAATCTCAGAGTCTCCAACGAAAATCTTCACATAATAATGGACACCGCAAGGTTCGCCTTCATCCTCCAATTCTGCCTGCAGAGTCACGGACCCTGGCGCTCCAGCTGGGATCTTGAAGTGGAAAGGATAGGCCTGTGCGCCTAACTTCTTGATAAGACGCTCCTGAAACAATGTTTTATAGACATTAACCACAAAAAGAGAACTTATAACGGGGTTTAATTGTAATTGTTCAAATTTTAAATTAACGTAACCGTATTTTAATTATACGTTGCAAAATGGCAACTTTTCAAGAAAGAGACTTTAACGAAATTAGTCGACAACTGTCGACATGCTTAAAAATCGATACTACCTCAGCTCGAATTAATTCTTTTTCAGTGCTTAATAGGTTCAATAGCGCGAGTCGAGCGGCCGGGACACTGGTTTTATTTCGAAATTCATTTGTTTACAAACGAATTTTAAGGCATTTGAAAAATATATTATATTGTTTACTATACGTGTTCTATTTAGTTCAGTTGATGTAAAAAAATCATTGCTATAAAGTACCACACCCATATATACCATAAAGTACAATTTCGAGGTAAGTTTGACTTTTTTTTATAGGAAATGAAACTATTTTTCCGGATTTGGTACAGTTGTGTCTAATATTAATGCAAACCACCCTATTTTTTCACTTACAAAAGTAATAAATTAATTATTTTTTAATTTACAAAGAAACATTCCAGTTAAATTGATTGTTAATAATTAATAATGGAAATTAGAATTTAGAACAGCAGTCTTATTATGTCTATTTGGGATTTTTCATTAGTGGAAATACTGGATCCCAAACTGGAGGTACGGAGAAACCATCTTCCCCTGTTGAAATTAGGATGCTTTTCTTAATTTAAATGGCCTGTCGCAGCATCCTAGGTAGATAACAGACTTCTTTTGCAAGGACCTGGGGTTTGTCAAACTTCATTGAATGTGTAGGTTTATCCAAGACATGCTAGCAGACTGCAGAATTGTTTACGCGACGGTGTTTGACATCAGCTACTTAGAATAATAACGCGTAGAAACCTAGTCCGCACCGTAGAGGCAAATTGAAGCGCGCCAAAAGGGCCTACACGAGCGGGCGGGCCTTCAGTGCTCAAGGTAAAATTGCACCGCGAACAGATCAAGAATTTTAGCTAAAAATGACGAATTGTGCGGTAAATGAGTGTAAAAACACGTCAAACAAACATAAAATAGATACTAACATCACATTCCACAAGGAAGTAACGCGTTTCAACTTGTATTGTTATATAAATATTCACTAAAACCGAAAATTAACCTACTACTAAAACTAGCCTACATGAATTTGATTTTTGCCTCACTTGTGACAGTTCGTTTGATATGAAACTATCATTCTATGCGTTATTATTATAAGATCAGCTATATGTTCTTTGAATTCTATCTTGAAAATGTTTTGGAAATCGTCTTTTCACACCGTATCCTCAATTTTCCTGTATATTTTTTCCAAAGTTATTGATTTAACACTTTCACTGTTTTGCGGAATCAACCAAAGCCATTTGAGGTTGTCTCGACTCTTAAATAGGAGAGTTATAAAATTTCACAAATACGTAATTTTTTTTCATGCCGTATTATTTTTGTGAGTTCATGAGATAAAACCACTTTCGACGTATGAAATAATAAAATTGAAAGGTTTCGATTTTATTATTTTGTTTTTTTGACTAATTGGACTGTACAAGTATAGTGTGCAAACTAGAGCATCTACATCTACTAGAGTGTCTACATAAAAAAAAATCACAATAATTAAAAAGTATTCTTATAACTCCTATAGAACAATAAAATAGAAAATTTCCTTTTTGGTAGAGTTCGTCCGGTGAATAGTGCCACTTTCCTTATTTCTGCTGTTAAGCAGTAATGTCATGGGACATGGGACTTGTTAACTTATGTCTCAAGGTAACAGACGCAGCAACGGGCACTGATCCGCTCTGCAACTTATTCATGACTTATTCGTCCCGTCGCTTGACACTATTAAAAAAAAAATTAGTTCTGCTTGCGCACATGATATGAGCTAGCGTATCATACAGAAAAGCTATAAGGTTCTGGTACAAATTGTCGTCGTTTTTTCAAAAATATACCAACAGGCAAACAACAACAAACTGCACAATCCTGCGCTACGGGGAAGCCGTACGGGCCAAAGGCCTTTTGCGGTCGCCTCTTGCACAAGCAGCAATGTGCGTTTATAAAGTTCCCGGGATGAGTGCATTCCGGCAGTCTGCTACACTAATCATGGCCAGTTCGTGCGATATCTACTTCCCAACTGCGCAGTATAAATAGGAATATAGTGATTTTTGTGCGTAAAAGGAACTTTTTATAATGAAGAATGAGATACTCTTCTTTTTTTTCTATTTGTGTATAGAATAATATGATCACAATTTTATTGCTTTTATAGTGAGTAAGTGTCCTCATCACTTTATTGTGCCCTTACACAGGGCGTCACATGTACATTTTCAAGCTACTGTACTTACTTAATATAATATAAATGTGACAATGCAATATTCTAATGAATAAATGAATAGAAAGCAGACTGGAAATTTGGATTTGTTTTCAAATTTGAAATAACTCAATTTTAAAACCAATAAAAAAGAAACGTGTATATAACTTCACTGGATGTTAAAAACCTCTGAACATTGTTAAGCGATACTTGTATCTTAGTAGCAGTAGAGCACCTTGTGAAATAGTTCTGGTTTTGAAGGGTTACGGTGCCGGTAAACTTACAGAGACATGGAACTTTTGAACTTATGTCTCAGGGTGACAAACGCAGGAGCAATGCCCCTTAGATCTGCGATTTAAAGCTTCGAGCAGCACTGCAATTGTTATTGATAACACGCCTATCACGCAATCACGCTCACCACCAGACACACGCCTTGGTCGTCCCGTCAGGGCGCGTTCCCAATATGTCGTAACGACAGATAGTCGTGCAGTTAATCGTGCAGATGACATAAACTTAGGGCTCATTTACGAATGCCATCAAGTCTCATGGAGGTATGTATACACAACCACGTAACTCCACAGTGAGTTAAACACAGCGGCTCACGTGGCAATGACGCAGCGGGTGAACTAGCCAGAAAAGGGTCGGAGACGGACGCTGTAGGACCAAAACCCATAGTATCCCTCACCTACCAATGATCAAGAACAACTATACGCGAAGGTACAAAATCTTCTCATAATAATACATGGACAACCCTTAAGGTTTGTAGACAGGCGAGTTCAATAATAAATAAAGCGTTACGACATAATGGGAACGCGCCTTCACTCAGTATCATCATAATAGTTATTTTTGATATAAGTGCGGAAAGTTAGTCATTATTCACGAGTCGCGAGGCTTCTTGGCCCGAGCCAGAGGCGAGGGTCAAGACGCGAGACAAGTGAAAATGACAAATCCGCACGTGTATCAAACGACGTTTTTTAATACATTTGCGAAAAAACTACATTGAAAGTAAAATAAAACAGTATTTAAACAAAACTCATTTTCTGCTAGTAAATTAAAATAATGAAAATTACAACCACTGCAACCATTAGTTAAAAGTCTATGGAAATCTAGTTCTAACGTGTTGTTTTTGTTTATTTTCTGTAATATCGGCCTGTAACCACTATTCTTATTATGAAATCCTGGTACTTTTGTTTAAACTTCTTTAGGAACCCGTGCACGATAGTGAGATACAATTTATCTGTAATACATAGAACAAATATATACATAAAAATCTCGCCTGTCACCCATTCAGGGGTAGGCAGAGACTGTGGACCTCCACTCGATACGTTCATTATATAGTATTTGTAAATAAATATAAGTTTTAATGACGAATGACTTACGTCACAAAGCACGCACATAAATATGAAATAAATATACAATCTCTTTAGTTCTACGTTTAAGACTTAAAACAACAGTAAATTAAAAAAAAACTGGAAAAGTAAAAAGCACTAGTGCGAGAAATCCAACTTTCCGCACGATTTGTAGTGCGAAAAATACCACGTTTTGAGCAACTGTATTAAAATAGTTATTTTTGATACAAGTGCGGAAAGTTAGTCATTATTCACGAGTGTCGAGGCATCAACTCACATCGTCAAGACTCGAGACAAGTGAAAATGACAAATGCGCACGTGTATCAAACGACGTTTTTTAATACATTTGCGAAAAAACTACATTGAAAGTAAAATAAAACAGTATTTAAAAAAAAACTCATGTCTATAAACTGATCATAGACGGCTGTGTATTTATCTTTCGATTTATCCGGTAAAGTACTATTGCTTGCTATTAATGCTTTTGCACGTATATCTGGTGGTGTTAAATCTACAATACACTCGTCGGAATCACTCATTTTTTGCATAAATAATATTGTCAATTCTTTCTTTAGTAGTCAATAACAAAATCAAATCGTAAAAAAGTTAATGAAAAAGGCGGGAATGTAAACGATGAAAAAAATTTGTACTTTTTTGGCCGACTTTTTTCAATATGGCAACTGTTGCCAGTATTCAGCCACATTTAAATTACTATTTTATATTACTTTATTTTGTACATAATCGCTACTAAGGAGCATTTACTTCATAGGTGTAAAAATGCGGTCTCTCCATAGATACAGTATAGTAATGACGAATGACTTACGTCACAAAGCACATAAATATGAAATAAATATACAATCTCTTTAGTTCTATGTTTAAGACTTAAAACAACAGTAAATTAAAAAAAACTGGAAAAGTAAAAAGCACTAGTGCGAGAAATCCAACTTTCCGCACGATTTGTAGTGCGAAAAATACCACGTTTTGAGCAACTGTATTAAAAAAAATATTTTCAGCATTTTGTTGTTGTCAATTAATTTTGTAAATATAAGATAATTATTGTGATAATATTATAATAATTATCAGCGGTAATTTTATCATTTCGAACTCTGCGTATTTGTAACGTATACATACAATTAGTTTCACCGTAGTCGCTCTACTATAGCTTGTAGTTACAAGGTTACATAACTACCCTAAAGCGCATTCGCGGCGTATGCTCCACCAAAACGGGAGGAATGTAATTACGATGTTATTTAGGACTAAACTACAACACAACACAAATTGTGTTAAGGAATTTCGTTGTATTTTTCTGTATGTCATAGAAAAGTTAATTATTAGGGTGCGTACAGATCTGGCAAACGCGCCGCAAATGCGCTTGTTTGCTAAAGGCTTGCGAGCACATTACGTAGTGCGATCTGTTCGCATGCAATTCGCGCGTCACTCTCGCATCACGTATATTAACACACATGTCAATTGGAAACCACATATTCAAAAATTAAGATCTAAAATCGGCAGATTTGCTTATGCACTTCAGGAAATAAAGAAAACAACTGATTGAAAAACCGCGCTCACCACTTACTACGCGGATGCCTATGCGTGGCTCAACTGCGGTGTAATGCTGTGGGGAAACAGCACTCCTTCAATTTTGAATTCTAGCTAACATTGATATAACCGAAAGTTGCTAACCCTACATCCAAAAATACAATATTTTAACTTTACCATGCATTTACATTTTTGAATCCTGCAAGTTTGTCAGAAAATATCCTGATCTCTATAAAAAACGGCAAGAGATACCTACAAACTATTGTCTTCGACACCAAAACAGACTTATGTTACCAAATTCAACTCTCTCTCCATTCATCAAGTCCATTTGTAATGTCTATAAAAATTTATAATAAGTTACCAAACTCCATAAATGAAATACCCAGTGACAACAGTTTTCCATCATATTTGAAAAAAATTTTAGTAAGTAAGACTTACTACGATGTAAGTGAATATTTAAACGATAAAAAAATATGTTCCTATTAAAATAATTAATGTACACAGCGTATTTAGTTAACATACGTGTATAAATACTAGGCATAAATGCTAACGTAATATTTCGTTATTATTATTAATTTTATTTTCTGTGTTAATAACATATATAGATATTTATTAATCTTTCAAAATAATAACATAGTATTGCAATAATTTTTATTTGAGATTTTAATAGTCTTTTTGTATAAATTGTATTTTGTTTATTGAAGATTTTATTTATTAAATGTTGCCCACTCTGTGTGTTTTTGCTGTGCTCAACAGGGCCCCAAAGCTGTAATTTAAGCGTGTCCACCTGCTACATTGTAAACTATTGGAAATGCAATAAAGTATTGAGTAATTGAGTAACATGCATTTAACTGCGCGCATGCAGCACGCGTGTAGCGCGCGTGTGGGGCGCGTGCAGCGTACGCATACCATACATACCTACAAGTTACACCCGATGAGATATATTACTTGAGAACTTGTGGTTTGTTTTCATCTATATTTTTTTAACAAAAACAGTTCTCTCTCTCTTCAATCCAATTACACAAAAACCCTTGATAAAAATGAAATATAAAACACCTGAGCATCAATACCGGTAATGTAGCCCATTCTTCATTCCTTTTGACGTCTCGTGTTACTGCAATTTGAGTCACAAATAAAACACCTGAGACCGAATAGCAGTTCGTACTCCAATAACAATAATTAATTCATTTTTTAAATTTTAATTAAGTTTTTCCGGATCTGAATCGCGTATTTTTATTTTTATTTTTTTCAAACAAACCAATATGTCGAATTCTACACAAGTCCCATGTTTGCGATTGAGTAATCCGTAAATAGTTCGGAACATTGATTTTTTTTAAAAAAAAAAAACAAATATACACGATTTAGCACAGAAAAAATAGTTTCGATTGTGACTCATTATAGCATAATTTAATCAATAATACGAATAAATGTAATTAACGTGTATGATATTACTAAATCTGTCATCCACTCAGCTTTTTTATGATACAAAATGACGAGACTAAGAATCCTTGCGCCTGGTTGTAAGCGACACGCCTGTCTATAATAATGGCACTGCCGCTGCGCCTGTCACCCTAAGACCTCTTTTACAAGCTCTACTGCTACTAAAAAGCTTATTGTCGTCTCACTGAAAATGTTACGGCGCTGTTTTTCAGTAAAGAAATACTCAATCACGGAACAATTTCCTTTAAAAGCACAGTCACTAATATTCTTGGTTTTTTTTTCAATCATTGACATTACCCACCTCTGTGTGGTCAAGTTTTAATTTCACAAAACCACAAAGTCAGCTGAAACAATAGGTACCGCATTCGAATCCCAATCGTGGCAATTTAGAAAACGAACTTTTCTAAATTGCTTCAGTCGTCTGAATGGTGTTTTCCAGATTAGTTTTTGTCCCAGGTTGCGATAGCGGCGATTCTACTAAATATTGTTACGAAACCCACCGTCCAATTCTTTAACTTTTATGATTATTTGTTTCAACCCACACACGTTGCAGTTCTAGGCAAAGTTTAACTATAAGAAGGATAATGGGTTATCTTAGTATTAAGAGGGGTGCTTAGTGGAACTATAAAGATTAGTGCTTCTAAAAGTGAGAATAATGACGTGAGAGCACTAGAACGATTCTTAACGACCCTAAAACCTAGACCAAGTCAGACCGAGGCTATAATCCAACAAGGAAGTCCAGTATGATTTTTGAAGTCTGCAAACTGGACGTAATTATGCAGAAATTATTTAATCCATTCATAAGTTCTCACATTTTTGCTATTTTGGTGTTTGGTGAAAATTCTTGTGGGTTAGATCATTTCTGCAGAATGACGTTCTATCTTCGAAAAGTTTTATGAACTTATCCAACAACCGCATTTCCAACTCGCGATTTTTTTGTGTTGAAATTAGTTCTTCCACGTCTTCGTATTCTGAGCAAGTTTCATTATGTTTGAGCCCAATTTCCGCCTTATATTGTTGATACTACTTAGTGGCTCGCGAGCTACACACGCACACATTGATAATTGTCTACTTATCACTTACCCTGTGTCCAAATACTGGCGAAATAAAGGCTAAAATTGCATCAACTCTTATTTTATTTACCTGGGTCTTCGACAGCTCATAGTTCCTCTTCTCTGGCGGTGGATAGATTTGCTCCGAAGCCAAGAAAAGCTCCTTGTAGAAGTTGAGGCCCATGACCTCATCTTCCTCGCGACCGTAGCGGAACGTACACACCACTTGCCCGTACACCTTGCGCCCGCGCACATAATCCTCGTCAAGGAGAACTACGCCATCTGTTGGAAAAATAAATTAATTGATGACTAGAGCTTAAAAGTACAACGCATTCGAACAAAGGTTTCTAAAATATTCTTTTGGTTAAAAAATATTCCTACTTAGTTATAAAGTCGATTTTTCTGCATAGTGTTTGTTTATTGACTTATGTAATATTTTACAGTATAACAAAGAGTTTTGTATTGAAAAATCAGCTTTAACATTCTCTGTTTTGCATTTTTGTGATTTATCTTTTGCAAAGTATCCTTAAAGACATTTTTATTAAAATTCTCTACCATTAACATTATACCCGTAAAGATATATTCAAAAAGTTTGACAAAACTTCGATGTCCGACTAGCATCTGCAGTGCATGCTGTTACCAAACTTGCGCTCAATAGCAAAACTGCACAACGGATCGATTTAAATTTTTAGTTACACTACGACGTTACTTTTGCAGTCGAGAGTAGCGCTCTCTTCGGACATTACAAGACATTTGTCCACAAAATATTCTGGGGGAACAGATTAAATAAATGCAAAGCCCAGTCATATTACATTCGGAAACAAAACTGGAAAGGGTAAATGAATCCAAATTCCAAAGTCTTATTTAACCAAGTTCTTGACCAAAGATTTGTTAGTTGTCTTGTTTACCCTTATCATTAGTTAACACGGGTAACGCTGTGCTCCGTATCTAATGGACATTTTTACGAAATTGGGTTATTAACATATCTGAAATCAACAAAATGAGATGTACGAGTGGTTACACACGGTGACTTTTTAGCAGTGATGCTATTAGAACGATCGCTACACTTGCGATTTTTAGGCGATTGCGTGGATGCACGCGGCAATCGCCTATAAGTCCTAAGTGTAGCGATGCAATCGCGCATTTGTATCGATGCGTCACGCGCTTGCATCACTGCTTAAAATCGCACGCGTTTGTAAAGATAGACGATTAGCGACTGCATCACATCTGGTTTTTTACACCTATTCAGTTTCAGTTTTATTGTTAAGCAAAAGCAGCCCAATTACGCTATGTGTCAATTGACATTTTTCAACATAGTGAAACACTTTGGGTGCCAGTATCTTTAAAGTTACCAAATGCAGAACAAGCGGGACAGCATAGTGAATTTCATTCGAATAATAACTAATAGTTTTTATGAAGAGAGCATTTTGTTCTAGGATTTCTCCACCGGCAGATACAAGTTGGTAGTGGTAAGAGCGGCGGTAGTTTGAAGCTCATCACTCTTGCGAGGGTAATGAGCTGTGCTGATGGATGGTTGCAGCTCACAATGCGGCGATTCGCTGCATCCACACGCCTGGGACGTGATTCCACGGTTACGACTTGTTTCCATTGTAATACGACGTCTTCAGACTTTTGGTGTTCGAGACTATGTTTTATCTGTTTATCTCTTTGCCATAAGACTTTCTTACACACAGAGATGTGATTGATTGATGATGTCGTTGGTAACAATTCTAACGAGTTGTGATTGATATTTCTAATTGTATTTTGTTTCCTAATCTAAAAAGGGGAGAGTTATATGTTTGTAGCCTTTGTTTGTGTGTTTGTCTATCTGTACGTCTGCCTGTGGCATCGTAGATCCTAAACGGCTAAACTGATCTTAGGGCGGCTTTTACTTTCATTTGAAGGCTAATTTAATCGATATGATTTTTGGCTACTTTTAAAGAACATTGGTTCAGCTGTTTAAAGATTGTCAGCTCTTTGTCCAGTTTGTGCGGGAAAGTCAGTCATAAGATGAATAGATATTTATTTTACTTCCACTCGACTGATGACATTACGATAATATGGTAGTGTGGCATCCAATACGCAGTGAGAAATATTATAATTCAAGTTTCGCGCGGCACAGGCCGCTGCGCGTAAGTGGCAATGGGTTCCCAACAACTCATAGCCAATGAGCTTTCGGCGTTTGTCCAACACGCCATCGATACCATGGACGAAGTCAGCATCGTGCAGATCTACAAATCCAACTTCAACGAGGATGAGATTTGCAGTGGCAAGATGCTGTTGTTTGAGAGCTTTGACAAAGCTGAGCAGATGCCATCTCGCCAGAGAGATGGAGGCGTGAAGAGTCTCAAGGATGATATCACACTCCTGAAGGAAACTGACCCGGACGACGCCTACATTCGTGGCGAAGGAGCTGCACAAGCTGCCCCCCGTTACGTTCGACCACGTCGATTTTACCAGGCTGCTAAGGGATATCACTTCCCTGAAGTCAAGCCTGCTTGAGTTGCAGGGAGACCTCAGATAACACCATTAGTGAGCTGCGTGCCCAAGTTGCGTTATTAAGCAACGCTGCTTTGGTATGTAGGTCACCAGAAATCTTTAATGTAAACACGCGTCGTAGGGTGCAAAATGCATCCATCAGCAGTATCGAGTCGGCACCGATCGCTGCTGCAGTCGCGCGCGATGCGCCGTGCCCTGTCAGGGGCGTACGCCGCTGTAGCGGCTTCTACCAGCCGACCTGCTACTTCGAAACTAAGAGGCGGCAATCGGCATGAGTAAACAGTGTGCGTGTCTCCGAAGTTACAAAACCACAGAGGCAGACAGATCAATGCGACGAGGACGGCTTCACAAAGGTGGTGAAGAGGAAGAGGAAGCCCACCAGCCGTAGCCTGTGTGGCACAGCACCAACAGGACCGAACTTTTTGCCGCTTACTGTGTTTAGTGGCGACTTACTTTTCAAATTTTGAATAGTTCTTGAATTCCTTTTCCTTCATTATTCCTACGTTGGTTGGTTCCATTATCACTCTCATCAATTTTCTCGAAGTGAGAGGACGTGCTTATTTATCATCATATATAAACTCCACTTCTACTTCAACTGTTTTTATAGCATTAGATATATAAATAAAAATAAATAAATAACGCACACACTCAACATAGCCCCGCACTAGGGAAACCCTGTGTCGCGGGTGCCATGGACACACATATAGACAACCACAAATTACACCCAAACTCACGAGAGAAATAATTGTAGGCCATACAACTATTTCTCTCGGCCCGGGAATCGAACCTGGGACCTCTGCGTGGCAGTCCGGCATGGTAACCGTTCGGCCACGGAGGCAGTTATATACGCATATAGGCAGTGTTTTATACTATTTGTACCTTTTTTATATCATTGTATTAATTTTGTTACAGTCTTTCTATTCCTTTTCAGATCGTTTCGAAATCAAAACCTCGTAAGCTTTTTTTTCCAATTATAACTTATGCTAATATGATGCAGCCAAAATTTTGTATTGCTTTACAATTAGGATACGAAATATTCGACGTTCCTTGAAACTTGGGTAAATTTAGGTTTAAATTTATATAAATTGTTATCCAAATTAATAGTTAAACATTTCCTTTTAACAAAAATAAGTTTGCAGAAATCCAAATTATTTACACTAAAATGCCGTACAAACCGAGACTTAAAATGACGTGACACAATGGATCCAAACACGCAACGTGCTGATGTTTTCAGCCATTCCCAGCTGGCTTTTCTTCGCCACAATGACACTGCGAACTTGGTTTAAGAACTATAAACATTACAATTAAAGTCAAGTGGTGCTTACACCACATAACGGATACTATATAATGGCGTAGTAGTAATCTTAGAAGTTAAAGACGTTAGGATATCCACAGTGTTATCTTTGTGGAGTTTATTACCCGATTCGTGAAATTCTTCCAAGTAATTAACCCCCTTTACACAATCAGTTGTCAGGGGCGTACAGGGCATACCATAATCTTTCCAAAAA